TGTTTTGCAGGTATTATTGAATTTGAAGATTCAGAAATTTCAATGAAGTTTCACTCCGATGATGACATCTCCGGCCTCGGTTTTCTTCTTACTGCCGTGCAGGAAGAGTGTCCACCGCCGAGTTGCGACAGAAAGTTCACAGAATCCCAGTTCAAACTGTCCAGCCCCAACTTTCCCTTGAATTATGATAATCGGCGAATTTGTAAGTATGTCATCGTAAAAAGCTCAAGCATGGTTTGTAAACTTCGCCTCCAGGTGGAGCTATTTGACGTGGAATACGACGATAAATGTGAAGCCGACTTCTTTGAGTTGGATGGAGAAAAGTTCTGTGGGATCATGTCGGAAGGTCAAATTGGTAAGCTTTTTTGAATTTTGATTTATAAAATTGAACATCACGAGTTTTGATATGTGTATACACGTATGTATGTGGGCCCGGCATGGCCAGGTGGTTAGGGCACTCGACTCGCAATCTGAGGGTCGCGGTTTCGAATCTCCGTCCCACCAAACATGCTCGCCCTTTCAGCCGTGGGGGCGTTATAATGGGACGGTCAGTCCCACTATTCGTTGGTAAAAGAGTAGCCCAAGAGTTGGCGGTGGGTGGTGATGACTAGCTGCCTTCCCTCTAGTCTTACACTGCTAAATTAGGAACGGCTATCCGCAGATAGCCCTCGTGTAGCTTTGCGCGAAATTCAAAAAACAAACAAAGGTATGTATTTCGCTTGATACGATACGAGTTTGAAGTCTATCAAAGGTATCCCAGTCACACCAAACATGCTCGCCCTTTTAGCCGTGGGGGCGTTATAATGTGACAGTCAATCCCACTATTCGTTGGTAAAAGAGTAGCCCAAGAGTTGGCGGTGAGTAGTGATGACTAGCTGCCTTCCTTCAAGTCTTACACTGCTAAATTAGGAATAAACAAACAAACTATCAAAGGTAAGCTTTAATATGTTTTAACACAGATTATAGAATGTAGTGCTTTAAAAATCAGGGGGGGGGGTCCATTTATTGTATTAGTTTCTTAAACAAAGGTAGATAAATGCGTTGCACTTGGCCGAATTTCTCTTATGACTTTCGACTTCAATCTTTTAGTTAAATTGGTTTTATGGTGAATTGTGAATATACTGAAATAGACTTACAATTCTGAAATGTCAGGTCAAAGCTACAGTTAATTGTGGAGTGTTTCAAAACAAAATATTATCTTCATGTCTAAATCGCACATAATGAAAGGAAAGGACTTCTTAATGCATGAGCTGCTTTAACGTTCATTTAATTTTCCATCCCATTTCATTTGTCCTTCTCAATTATCTCACCGCACTAAACTCATCGAGCTTTTCCGAAGTAGTTCGCCTCGAGATCCCCCATAGAAGAAATAGTCCGTGTCCATAATCACTCAAAAGGGGTGGTAGGTGAAAAAGTTAATTAACAATGACACCACAAACACGTGTACGTGAATCTCCTTTTTTTATATATAAAAGTAATGAACTAATCCTTCATGTACGTGTGGCCTGTCCTGGTCTTTCATCTCTTCAGCTGATTGTGATTTGTCAAGCTCTTATTCCTGGATTTCAGGTTCATCGCGTGATTTGAATTTGGTACTTTCAACCTGAACGGTGCCTTATGCCAAATGAACTAATTTAAAACTGTTGACCAGAGGATTGGAAACCTGTCATCAGTGCCTACTGCCTGCGCGGCTACTTTATTTAACTCAAAAATGAGATTGACTGTCACGATTATAACACGCCCACAAATGAAAGTATGGAGTGCGTTTATAGGCATATCGCGATTCGAACCTTGGGCCTTCCGATAGCCCAGCATGCTAACCAATAGGCCACGCTTGGCTTGAATAAGTTATTAAGCTGACAAACTTGAGAAAAACCGTATATACTCACTGTATATATATTTATTAGTCACATGACTTGTCATAGCGAGTAACCAAAATGGCATAAACTCGGACAACAACCGATAACTTTAGCCTGTCTCATAATACTTAGTATAGATCTTGAAGGAGTGATTAGATTAGGAAAATATAAATAATAAGTGAGCTTCGAAAATAAAAGCCACAATTAAATTTAAAATTACGATACTTCTCCCGTAATGAAGCAAGAGTAGCCATAGCTTACTTTTCCCAAAAGTTGAATTGTTCACTAATCAGTCTCGACAATATATAAACAACTGTCTATGGTCTCACTGTTCACTATTCACTCTGTACAGTATATAAACAACTGTCTATGGTCTCATTGTTCACTATTCACTCTGTACAATATATAAACAACTGTCTATGGTCTCATTGTTCACTAATCATTCTGTACAATATATAAACAACTGTCTAGGGTCGCATTGTTCACTATTCACTCTGTACAATATACAAACAACTGTCTATGTTCTCATTGTTCACTAATCAGTCTCGACAATATACAAACAACTGTCTATGGTCTCATTGTTCGCTATTCACTCTGTACAGTATATAAACAACTGTCTATGGTCTCATTGTTCACTATTCACTCTGTACAATATATAAACAACTGTCTATGGTCTCATTGTTCACTATTCACTCTGTACAATATATAAACAACTGTCTATGGTCTCATTGTTCACTATTCACTCTATACAATATATAAACAACTGTCTACGGTCTCATTGTTCACTAACCAGTCTCGACAATATATAGTCTCATTGTTCACTATTCACTCTATACAATATATAAACAACTGTCTATGGTCTCATTGTTCACTAATCAGTGTCGACAATATACAAACAACTGTCTAGTAGTTTGTACAACGCTATATATTTGTTTCCAAGTGGTTTGAACAATTCTATTTATTTGTTTCCAAGTGGTTTGAACAATTCTATTTATTTGTTCCCAAGTAGTTTGAACAATGCTATTTATTTGTTCCCAAGTAGTTTGAACAATGCTATTTATTTGTTTTCAAGTAGGTTGAACAATGCTATTTATTTGTTTCCAAGTAGTTTGAACAATGTTATTTATTTGTTTCCAAGTAGTTTGAACAATGCTATTTATTTGTTTCCAAGTAGTTTGAACAATGCTATTTATTTGTTTCCAAGTAGTTTGAACAATGCTATTTATTTGTTTCCAAGTAGTTTGAACAATGCTATTTATTTGTTTCCAAGTAGTTTGCACAACGCTATTTATTTGTTTCCAAGTGGTTTGAACAGTGTTATTTATTTGTTTCCAAGTGGTTTGAACAATGTTATTTATTTGTTTCCAAGTAGTTTGAACAATGCTATTTATTTGTTTCCAAGTGGTTTGAACAATGCTATTTATTTCTTGCCTAGTGATTTGAAATGTTCGTATGTAATGTGATTACTAACAAGAGTTTCCATTAATGTTTTAAGTTCACATGCTTCAGTAACTCAGTACTTACAGAGATTCATGTAAAAACATACATTTATATATTTAAGTCCTAAGTAAGACTCGAAAACAATTTTACTAACGTTTTCAACATAACACAGATAGTTTTACGTAAGTTGCGTAAAGAGTTAATAAAACTTTGTCAAGAAAAAAGGATAGTAATAAAATTCTCAAAGTGTATTAAAATAACACAAAAATCCATTTTTCTTCTAATCTTCAGAGTCAGTTCTGTTCAAACTCCTGATAAGCCCATTGGAAAATTTAATTTGATTCATGCATTCTGAGAGATTCAATGTTGTTTAAGATTTTAACAGCATTAAACGCTTTCTTCAATTTAATCTTCTTTGTTAGTTACTTGTGTACATTATAGCTTAATAAAATATTCGTAAAAGGGCCTTGATTTAATTCATTTTACTCTGTTAAAATAATCTAATATTAACTTTGAAAAATAAATGTTTTATTCAGTCCAGTTCTTCATCGGATTTCCTTCGAACGTTACTGAAGTGCACTGCGCGTCTAATGTTAAATACATAATCACTTAGAAATAGAAGAAGAAGAAGAAAGCATAACAAGAGACTCATTGTCGCGGAGAACAGTAACAGCATTGGGCCTTAATTCACTTTAATGCTTAATATAAAACCTAACAATCAAGGAATACTACGTTTTGGATCATTTCGCGTGTGGTTTCTGAACTTGAAGTTTTTCATAAGTGCGTTCCACTAAATTAAACGATCACTATAAGCAAATGAAACATAAATCAATTTCTGTTACTCCTAGCGGAGAAGACTGAAACTACAAAGCTGTTTATTTCTTCTACGCCTGTCTGTTCTGGCATGGCTTGGTAGTTAGCACACTCGACCAGTAATTTGCTAGTTGCGGGTTCGAATCCTCCCCATCGAACAGGCTCACCATTTCAGCCGTGGGGGAGTTATAATGTGACGATCAATTCCACTATTCATTTGTAAAAGAATAGATAGCCCAAAAGATGGCTAGGAGGTGTTCACTAGCTGCCTTTCCTCTAGTCTATCGCTGCTAAATTAGGATAGGCAGCGCAGATAACCCTCGAGTAGCTTCGTACGAAATTCAAACTATACACGTACAGTTTTTTAATAATATAAGGAAGAAAAATGGGAGTTGGTTTATCATTCGGCTTATATAACTTCAGTTTATTAGAAGAAGGCCGTCACCTTCTTTATATCATATCAAACTTGTCGAAATTCGTTCCGAAAAGTCACAATCATACACACGGAATAAACTAGCGGGTGGTAGAATCACTAGACACTTCCAAAAATCCCTGTTCACCACATGAACTGAGTACTGTTTTTATATGACGTTCTGCTATGTACAAAAATCAGCTATGTTTTCTGTTGTATCCCAATATCGAAATACAAAAATTCTACATTTGTGTTATGTGTTAATAAAAAACAGCATGTGCGAATATATAAACCTCAAAATTAATACTAGTAAAAGATGACGTATATGTGTGTAGAGAAACCCCAAAATTAAGACTAGTAAGAAAGAATATGTATATAGGAAACTTTTATAATTAAGATTAGCAAGAAAGAAAATGTGTGTAGAAAAAAAACAAAATTAAGACTAGTATTTGTTTGAAGTTAAGCACAAAGCTACACAATGGGCTATCTGTGCTCTGCCCACCACGGGTATCGAAACCCGGATTGTAGCGTTGTAAATCTGCAGACATACCGCTGTGCCACTGGGGGGGGGGGCTAAGACTAGTAAGAAACACATGTGTGTAAAGAAACCCCAAAATTAAGACTTGTAAGAAACAACATGTGTATAGAGAAACCCTAAAATTGAAAGGCAAGAAACATATAGAGGAAACTCAAAATTAAAACTAGTAAAAAAATCAGTAACAACGTAGAGAACCCCAAAAATTAGCATGTTTATATGTTTGTGTAATTTCTTTGTCCATACCAGTATAAATTTTAATACAATGATAGTGCACTTGTTTGAGGCTAAATAAAATGATAAATATTAT